CTAAGAGTAACCACAACCTTAACCCAAGGCAAGTAAACTCTTCTGTTCAAAGTGTAAACCGTATTTCTTCGTTTTGTTTGCGGCAAACCCGCCAACATCTAAAAATAAAGGTTTTCCTAATTAAATAATAAAACCTAATTAAAATGCATAACTACTGGCAGTCCGCCACGTACTGACTTCTTGTTAAGGCGTAGCCACACCTTTGTGTGATTACATCGTCTTGTGTAACCCACACCCTTGGATGGTCACACCATCTTGTGTGACCCACCCCTTCATACCAGGATACGTGTAACCTGTTGCAGTAGAGGAGGTGTAAGTGTCTTGGAGGCTCTCAGTTTTGCTCGGTAGGAGCGCACAAATTTATTATCGGTTCGTTTCATATTCGTAATCAGAGAGTTGAAGTTTTTTTGCAAAGGGCTCGGTAAATGCGTTGCACGTGGGCAGTTAGACGCATGCCAAGCATTATAGTGATATTTTGTTATTGTCATATGTATCAGTTTAGATAGTTGCATATTTGCTCTGCTTGAAAAAACAGTGCTGAGTAATGGTTACCAGAGAGGCTCTTAGTTTCGCTTTGTACAAATCCTAGTTCTATGCGTTGCGTTTGTCAGCACTGACTTTTTGTGGCGAAGCTTGCTTTTTCTGTGCAAGGTACACGGCGACCCCGTTGCAGCACAGACTACTTAAATGATTGCTTTTCCGAATCAACAGTGCTACTTTATAGACAAAGATTAGAGTCCAAAAGTCTATAGATTAGCACCGAACTCTAGCCCAAAACTTTCGTATTTTTCAGAAAACAAAATGTTTTAGTGAGTACGTTGACTTCGCAATTTTGATTACGAAATGCGAGGCAAACTCACTAGATTTAAACAATTCTGGAGAAGCCAACTTCGATTCGAGTTTGGTACCGCGGGTTTGGGCCCATGATGAATCACAGACGATGTACGCGAGAATTTATTCCCCCAAAGGTTACTGAGGGGTAAATTAAAACTGTGCTGAAGCGAGGCACTTCTTTTATGATTTTGGCGACTGAGTTCTGTTCAAAATCTCCAGTTTAACAAGATTCTTGACCAAAACGTTACGGTTGAAACATCCGCATCCAAACTTTTGTCGCCTTCGGTCTTGTAGCGCTTTCAAACAACGTATCGTACACGTCATGTCGAACAACAAACCATTCATGATTATTGTTGCGAAACAAGCATCAATGACGGAATTAATGACAGAGTCTCCATCGGTCTGTGCACATGTCTTTTGGACCCACGATCACACCGACTTTACTGTCGGTGGCCTGGGATTGTCATTAGTTTTTATATTATCTGGTCTCTCTACTTCCACGCATTGTATTCAAAGTACAAAATGAAACAAGCCTGGAGATCTGTTGTGAGTCCGCCAGAAATCACGCACATCTTGATGGCTCGCGTTTGGCACTTTGCCTTGACTTCCTTCGAGATATGAATTCTCATCGTGTCCAAAAATTAAAACTTACCATCAGGGATCTGCAATTTGATCCAACGCTTGAGTAGCGAAACGTCAAATCAGACCACCTTCTGAATTACAACGTATACTCCATTAATTTCTCAAAGATGGCCTTTTCAGCTTCTTTCCAGAGCAAAAATGGTGGTAGTTTTTTACCGGCTGCACTCACCGCAAGATCGACAGTGATGTGCAAACCCTGTCGCGCAAAAGATCACGTAACCAACTCAAACAATGCGAACTGTCTGGTTGCGTGCGTCGTTAAAGTACATCGCGATCTATTAAACCTGTCTAGTCGAGATCCATACTCTTGCGAAAATTGCATGCAGCTAACCACTCGTTCGACGACAAGTTCGTCGGTCAGAATGGTCAAGTTGGTGTGATGACGTAATGAGAGGTCGTATCGAAACATGATCTGTAATTCTAGTGCTGAGACGCAGTGATTTTATCTTGCGGGACGTCGTCTTTGCAGTGAGATGTATAACTGGTAGAACCCATGTCGGAGATACACGTCTTTCTTGAGGCGCTTGTTTATGATTTTAAGTCTTATTAGTGCTGGATACGAGCTTGCGAACACCACAAGAACGACGCAGCTGCTGTGGTTTGGCTGCCATAACGTCCGCTCAATTTCACCAACACCTTCTGACGGCGGCACCGTCCACAGCAAAACCGAACGATCAAAAATGGGCAACTGCTCACACCCGCCATATTCTTCAATCAATATAGTTAATTTTTGCTCATCGAAATGGCTTTGTGCCGTTCCGCCATATTACTGTCAGCGGTGGCAGTGCCACATTTTGATGACAAAAACGAAGTGTAGAAACTTCTGGTGTGACAATCGTCCAAAACTATTTTCTACAACGGAAATTCCGTTTTTAAATTTTTTGCTGAAGAGCTGTTTATTTTGATCAATAAAAGATCTGGCTGGAAGTCACATTTTTGCGATGCACCCATTTGTACGTCCAACTCAGCGCTTGCTTTGCCGTGTGGCTGTGCGCGCGACACACTGGCATTCGCATCCGCCATTGTGGACAGCATCATGCACACTCTCGACGCAGTCTGCGCGCACGTCTACTACACATATGGACGGCGCTGAACATAATGGTGGCGCCCACTGGACCGCTGACGTTGAGACCCACCACCAATCGCGCAAATCCACGAACTCTGGCAATAGCTTTAATCTCTTAAGTGCACACCCTTTGTTAGATGAAAGACAGGTATCGGCAGATGACGTAGCGATTAGGAAACGTCAGGTCGCTACTAAAAATCGGCACAGCCGAAAGAAAAGGAACAATTGCCGGGCTGACATGGATCGTGTTTCCTTTCGTGCGTTACTAACCGAAAGTATGCGCAATAACAGAACCTCCGCGCAACTTCGAAAGCATATGGACGAATTTCCAATGATGGATATTAACTGGTCGGACCAAGAACTTGTCATGATAGTCTGCGCTCTTATCAGGATAAATCGCAGCGAAATGGCGCTTGAGCTGTTGCGTAGCCAAATTGAGGAGCGCCATTTTGCCGCTATTAATCTTGAAAATAGGGATCGTGTCAATCGTGTTGCAGCTGCAAGTGCGAGGATGGGCAATGTAACAGTGGCGTTAGGCGTACTAGAGATCGCAAAGCATCTAAAGCTACAGCCCGATGTCATTACGTATACTAGTGCCATTCACGCTTGCGCTCGCGGTGGGAGATCTGACGTGCCGATGGCGCTGAATATAATGAATGAGATGAATGAAGAAAAGGTACAGCCTAATGCACGCACGTATGGCGCGATGATATTGGCGTATGCGCGACTAGAACGCTGGGACGAAATCTTAAATCTCCTGAATTCAATTCCGTACAAGGACGATGCGCACAAGAAGGAGGTATTTACGTGCGCAATTATTTCGTGCTCACGCAATCGCCAGCATTATTACGCGTCCAGGCTTTTTGAGTTGTTGCTTGTCGACGGTGTTTATCCGGGTGACAACGTTTGCAACGCCGTACTTAGCTCGTGTGCACGAATTTCTGACCTAACACTGCTTCACCGCATTTTCAAGCTGGTAGAGAATCATGCAAATCCTTCGATATACTCGTACAACTGTATGATTTCGGCGTATGGAAATGTTTGCAACATGGAGAAGGCGCTCGAAGTGTTTCAGAACATGCAAAAGGATGTGAACGTTTCACCAGATATTGTCACTTTTAACTCTTTGCTACTTGCTGCGGTGCGTTCGCGAAAGGTGAATATGTTTTCTTTTATCCTGTCCCAGATGGCTGAGGTAGGAATCGAGTGGGATGCTTACACGTTAAACACCTTGCTAGAGGGCTGTTCTTTGAATGGAGACGTTGATTTGGCTAAGCAATTTTGGTCTTTTGCGACACAAAGAAAGCAAATTGGGTCCGATGTGTCTTCAATGGTCAAACATAATGTAAATGTGGACCGCGGGCACTACGAGACGATGATGGCTGTGCTGCATGCTGCGAAACAACATAAGGCAATCGTGGATTTGTGGCAGAGAGATAAGTTGTGTCGTCGCCGCGCTAAAAGCTCGAAAGCTCTCAATTTTCTCATTTGTGCGTGCAAAGGTCTTCAAGACGACAAGACAGCAACGGCAATTGTGGCTGAGTTTGTTGCTCGGGGTCATCCTCTTTCATCTATCTCACACCACCACATGCTGGAAGTTTATCTAGCTGCTGACGATTTTAATGCTGCGTCAGCCCATTTTAATGAAATGATGAAGTCGGATGGTTTGGTGTCCACTTTCTCATTCACCGCGCTTGTGAAATATCTGGCTGGAAAAGGTCACCACTCGAATGTGCTTAAGATATTTGATATGTATTCAGAGGCTTGCGATTTCCCATCGAAAAGACAGAATCCGTTGCTCCATTACCCAGCTGATGCCATTTACATGTTGGCGATGCGGTCAGCAGTCCATTCCGAAGATCACGAAGCAGTGCTTGCCATTTACGGCCGCTTGCCAGCCATAACGTCAATGGCGGTACGAGCTGAAGTACTTAAACTAGCTGTTTCGTCTTGCGAACGCGAAGGGGATTGGCGCACTGCTGTCACAATGTACGACGAGGTGACTGGAATGCTGGATGAAGGCACGAATGTGGAGTTGTACAAGCACGTTGTCAAGATTGTTGCCAGTGCTGGAGAGTACGATCGTGCTCTTGACGTGGGCGGCGGTCAATGGTACCGAGTAAATCGGCCCGACCAACGTTGGGAGCATGAAAAAAGTTCTGAGCTGGTTTAGGGCGGATTGCGATTATTTCAAATATTAGTAGATTGACCTGTATCAAATCTGTAGACCATTAGTTTTGCACGAATCGAACATGAAATTTACTCTGACAAAGCGGATGCTTATTCCATCCATTTGATTGACCCTATCACTAGATTCCGCGAAGGTAACGGACCAGGAGAAGGAACAAGAAGCACCAACTTCTGTTCGGCCATTCGAACCTCCTTACTGAAGGTTGTAACAGACAAATGAGTCGAACATTAGAAACATAAGATATTGTCAATACATTTATCAATGCACACATACATAAACACAAAGCCTGCAGCAGGAGAACCGAGAAGCCACGAGAAATTGAGTGGTGATGAATCGGACGCATTTTGGTTAGCCCCCGAGTGTGCAACAGCTGCTAACGAGTGACCCAAGTCTACCGTCTTCTCCACAGGCACCACACGCAGGCGGTCAGTCTGCACCTCTGCTTGGCCGACTGGAAGCATTACATCGGACACCTTCATGTCTACTCAAAACATAAAAGATCACCACCAGCTAAGTGAGCGACACAACGGACAGTCTCTGCAACACCGAACGTCCCACGCACCTTTGATCGCAAAAAATGTAACGTCATCGAACGAAAATTCATTGATACAGGGTGACAACGACGGAATCGCCAGACTGAGTGAGTGAGCTCCGTAAAAGTACTCGCGAATACAACTGATGCGTGCCGCCGAGCGAAGTTTGTTATTTAAAGGGACCACTCCGCCTGACCGCGATAGCTTAACAATGGACCTATTATCTCCGTCCGCATTCTGACCAGTCAGTGCGCTCTGCAAACGACTATAAAGACGGTCTTGACCGATGACTAAAACCACGTCCACGTCAAAGTCCTTGATGGCGTGTACCAGCAGGTCAAAACCCGCGCCGTCCACCCACCCGCTCGTATTGATAACGCAGCCAGACCCATTCACTTCCTCATCATTGTTCATTCTTTTCTTGACTGACATAGCCAGTTGTCGCTGCTGATATTGAAAAAGCTCGACATTTTCAGAGGAAGCGGCATGACCGTAAAAGTAAGCCAGCGGGTTTGTTAAAATAAAGTCCTCTTCGATGCTAAGCGAGTTCATGTCCAATGGCGTGGCTGAAAGCGTACCTGGGACGCTGAGGAAGCCGTGTCCGACATCAAGCTCAACAAGCGTAGGTTTCTCGCCCAAACGTAACGCGTAGTTGACAAGAATTTGACAAAGCGTGGACTTGCCGCTGTCAATGGGTCCGCAGACGAGCACGCGGGGGCCGGCGACGTGCTTGGCCTTAGCCAGCTCGCGACGGCGCTGGAGCTGAGCGTGTATGTTGAGGTAGCTATCCATGGGTGTCTCTTCCGAAATGTAAGCCTCTTCAGGAGCACCACGCACCTTTAACGTACAACCATACCAAGTAAAGATAGCCAGCTTTCGATCACGAAACAAGTACTCGCGGTCGATAGCCAATTCTACGCCGAAAATTTCGGCTGATCCAGATTCGAGCTTGATGCCCACTTCCCTCTGCGGCGGCACCTCCACACGGTATTCACACTCTTTCGCCAACACCACCTCCATCTGCGGCGCACTCCCAGTCTTTTTGGTTCTTTACATGTTTTAGACATCAAATTAAGACCATACTCTTAATTCGTAAGCTGTTTTCATTGTATTAACAACAATTGCTTTATTTTTTTATTCCGAAATAAATGGAAATGTATAGTACACAGAAATAAATGATATTCCATTCAGGAACTATTGAAGACATTTTACAATGTGTGCAGATGAGGAGATGTTTTCCGGAGAGGAGAAGTCCGTTGCTGGCTAAGGGTTCATGACTGACGATGATATTATATATGGTGAAAACTAAACTTGCTTCGAAACGTATGTCATGTTTTAGAAATAACGATTTATAAGTAGTATATGGATCTGTTCGAATGGCGGACCAACGGACTGAAGCTTTTTTTATTTGCCTTCTACCACGCAAGCGTGCAAGAATAGGCCATTCACCTGACTGCGTACAGGCCCAGTTTGTCCGACGTCCTCCGCCTCTGTCTTTTGCCTCGGCACAATGCTCCGTAGGAAATCTCTTCAGTACGTTAAACACGTTTTGTCTAAACATTTTCTTACGTAGTGTTGTGACCCGGGTCAACTTTTGGCCAACCCGATCTGACTTGGGTCAACAGGTGCCCAACTCGGGTCAACGTGAGAAATCAGCCTAACATTTACTATTGGACTCGGGTTACTCGGGTTGCCTGTATATAAGATAGGCA